AGGAGACTAGTGAAGGAGGCCACCAAGACTCCTATGACTCCTCTGAATAGTTAACATATTATTCTGTGGTCTCTCCTCTTTGTTTTAACTTTTTATTCTTATTTGATTGTCTTTTGTTCTCATCTCTCAGTGATTTTGTGTTTTAAAGGCTGCACTTTGGCTCAACTCTTGTTTTCATGTCATGTTCTTGAAGAACCACTGACTTGGACCTGACTCTGTGACCTGTATGGGGTACATTCATCATCCTGGAACCTCAGCATGTTTTAATGGTGGATCATTTCCTCCTTGCTTGATGAGAACCTGTTCTCTCTGCAGCCTCCTGGTGGCTGCAGCATCAGGAGCAGGAAGCTGGTGTTCGTCTCGCCCTCGGCTGGAGGAACCCAGCACTAAGGCACCATGGCCAGCTTCGACACCCTGATGGCCGAGCCGCTGCAGCGCCACCCGGAGGATCGTGGATGCTCTGGTGGAGCTGAGGATGAGGTATCCGGGCGTCCTGACCGGCCTCCCTCTGCAGACCATCAGGGAGATGACCTCCAGGCCAGATGCTGCCTCACGGCCTCATAGAGCTTCAACATGTCTGCTGTTACCTGAGATCTGTTGGCAGTGATTAGTTAGAGAAGCATCACAGCCCCTTAGTTCTTCTTTACAGCCCGAGTGTTTCAGAGGGAGGCAGCAGCTCAGCTCTGCCATGTTGTCTGAGTTTGTTCCAGGTAGCAGCAGGTTGTTTCTGGGTCTTTAAAAGTTGTTTCTATGATTCAGAAGGAGCCTCTTCTGCCTTTTGTTTGGCTCCTTGATTAAAGACAGTTTTCCAGAAAAATGTTAAATGTTGGCTTTAGTTACGTATCAGGAGCCTTGTTTGTGTTTTTGTCCTGACTCAATAAAGAGGACGTCCGCCTGCAGATGTTCTGATCCTCAGCTGTGTCGTGCTTTAATCAATCCCAGGAGCCTTTTTTCATAATGAAATGAAATGAAAAATACTTTATTTATTATTATTATTTATTAATGAGTTTACCACATAAACCAGGTTTAGTTCAGTTAGTCTGACTTACTTTCTGTAACTTCGGTTCTACAAAGACAATTGAATGCAGGTGAAATGCAGTTACTCCCAAAATGTAACTGAGCTAGTCCAGGGCAGGCTAACTGACAAGCTAACTGTCAGACTTACTGAAAGGCTAATTGTCAAGCTAACTTTCATACTGTCAGAATAACTGTAAGGCTAACTCTAAGGCTAATTATCAGACTGCCAAGCTAACTGTCAGACTTACTGAAAGGCTAACTGTCAGAATAACTGTAAGGCTAATTATCAGACTGTCAAGCTAACTGTCAGAATAGCTGTAAGTCTAGTTGTAAGGCTAATTTTCAGGCTAACTGAAATGCTAACTCTAAGGCTACTTGTCAGGCTAACTATAAGGCTGATTGTCGAGCTAGCTGTCAAGCTAATTATAAGGCTAATTGTCAAGCTAACTTTCATACTGTCAGGCTAACTGTCAGAATAAGAGTAATTGTAAGGCTAATTGTTAGGCTAAGTGTCAATCTGTGAGCCTGTCAGGCTAATTGTACAGCTAACTATCAGACTAATTGTCAAGCTAACTATAAGGGTAATTGTCAAGCTACCTGTAAATCTAGTTGTAAGGCTAACTATCAAGCTAATTGTCAATCTGTGAAACAATTGTCAGGCTAATAGTCAAGCTAACTATCAGACTGTTAGGCTAACTGTCAGACTAAATATCAGGCTAACTTTCAGGCTAAGAGTTCTGACAGTAAACCTGAGACCTTCCACTGGTTCTCTGGTGTGCTGCTCCATTATTCGCCTTTATAAACCAGAATCAGTCCAAAAATGGGAGTTTACAGAAAATCAGCTTCAATAATAGAATAGAAATACTTCATCACAGACCTGGGAAATTACTGACATTATTATTATTAAATGGCTAAAATAAATTAGGCAACAATAAAGGAGATTTAGACGTCAGTGAGGGTTCAGTGAACATGAGGTGATGTGAAATGTTTTACTGTTATGAGGATGATGATAGAATATATTGACCTGGAATGTGTCTGAATCCATAAAACTGACTCCTGGAGTTTTTACACTTACAACAATAATAATAATTTAATCACTTTTAATGACAGACTTGATTCCTTTAGAAGTCTGTCTGAAACATGTCTTTGGTCACAATCAGTTCCAGGAAATGTTGAAGTTTCACATTCAGCCTCAGACATGAGTTCATCTGAACATTGTGACAGTTTGATGCTGATTTATTTATCATTTATTTATTTTGTCACATGAATTCCTCTTTAAGCTTTAGTTAGAGGAGCTGAACCAGGTGTAGATCTGATTCAGACCCCAGACGTGATGCCCACTGAGCTGCTGAGCCCTGTGTCTGCGGCTGCCGGCCCAGACCCGCCGCTAGGTGTCCGTCCAGCCCGGCCCGTTGGGCTCCGGTCGGCGCCAGCAGCTCCAGCAGGCGGCGGAAGGGTTAAAGTAATCCCTGCCGGGGAGGAGGCGGAGATTCCAGCTGGGACTCAACCGGACCAACCGACGGAGCAGCACTCCAACCTGAGACGGAAAATTCACTTTGTTGCGTTCCAGTTTGCGCTCATCTTTGCGGCCGCTTTCCGGCTCCGGTTCGTCTTTGCGCACAGTTCGGACCGAGACGCGCCTTCACGGCCCCGACGGAGGAGTCGCGGCTCCGCTGTCAGCGATGGGAGCAGCAGTGAGGGAGGCTGCAGAGGCGAAGTCGAGCTGAAGGATCAACAGGACGCTGCTTTCTGTGTGCACACGTCAAGACAATGGAGAGCCGCCGCCGCTGTCGCCCCGAGCCGCCCGTCCGCGCCGCGGAGCCGCGCACCGGAGCGGCCGCGTCCGTCTGAGCGCCCCGTTCTGCCGCGGTCGGAGCGACGAGGGCTCCGATGGGAGAGTAGAACCCGTTGGTGTGTGCACAGTAGAACCGACAGGAACCAGGGATTCGACTCGTAAACACGCACAGTGACACCATGTGGAGCGCGGCGCCGTGGACGCGCACAGCGGCTCTGTGCTGCTGCGTCCTGCTGCAGACGTTGGTGCACAGCGCCGGAGGTAAGAGTCCGTCAGCGGCGGGCAAACCCTCACCTCACATCAGGTCAGATCAGATCAGAGCTGCTGCACACCCAACCACATGGAGGCGAGTGGACGGGTTCTGGGGCAGGGATGGTCCAACCAGAACCAGAACAGTCCACATGTGTCGAGCCAGAGTGTCTGAATCCAGATGCTCACAGCTGCTCAGTTCATCCAAGGAAAACGACAAATCACACCTAAAATCGTCTGTTTTTAAAACGACAGACTGAATATGGAAGTCTGAGTGATGTCACAGCTGTTACTGTCATCATTATTATTATTATTATTATTAGAGCTGCAACGATTAATCGATTATTATCATCTGTTTTCAGAATCATAAATCAGTTTAAGTCATTTTTTGGAGGAGAAAAACGTCCAAATTGTCTGATTCCAGCTTCTTAAAATGACATATGTTCCAGTATCTGTGCTGCTTGTAGATGATGTAACATAAATATAATAAAAATGAGTAAATTAATACCAGTGTAGTGTTCATGAGAAAAAACAGACGGACTGGATCAAAATATGTGAATATGACAGTAAACTGAATGTCTATGGACACATTTCAGAAGCTGTGATCACAGAGTTCAGACTGTTTCATTAAAAGATACGAGTCTAATCGATGATTGAAGCAGCTGAACAGCTTCACTGCTGGATCTGCTGCATCAACGCTTTGTCACTTGTGCAGGTGAGAGTCTGTCGGATTCCCTCCAATGCAACAGTCTGAAAAAGAAAAATAGGCTAAAAAGGAAAGATAAAAGTGAGTGAAGCTGTTTTCAACGGTTTAATTTAACCTCAGCTGTCCTGATGATCGATTAATGAGAAATATCTTTAATAAAACGGTCCAAATTCTGTGATTGCAGCTTCTTAAATGTGAATATTTTGCCCAAAGATATTCAGTTCTTATAGTTTCATATTTGTACTTATTTTTTGGTCAAGTCTGTCTTTCCAGGAATAAAAAGGTTGTATTATTTTAACTGTTAATATTATGTCTTGTAACTAGTAAAGATACTAGAAAATATTCAATTTTAAGAAGCTGGAATCAGAGAATTTTGAGTTTTTTTTTCTTTAAAAAATGACTCAAATGGATGAACAGATGTTTACTGATGGTTGCAGCTCAAATAATAATCTGTATTTAAGTCACAAAGTGCATTTAAAGGCAGTAACGTCAGACAGACAGTCAGAAAAAATCATCAGTCATCAACACAGTCTGCTGTATAAAAACCAACAGGAAGGTCGAGCGATTTATTAACGAAATGCAGAAGTTCATCAGCGAGTCTCTTCTCTTCGGCCTCCGCAGCAGCAGCCGACTGACCGTCAGCTTCTGGTTTATTTCTCTGATTTAACTCAAAGACGTTTTCTCCTCCAGTTTGCTTTGTTCGGTTTGTTTTGTCAAATCCCCAAAATTCTGTTAATAATAAATCCGTTTATCCGACAAAGAACTCCTGGTTTAACTCAGGTTGCTCAGGATTTAGTTATGGAGTGATTCATGAGAGAACATCGGAGGAAAACCTGGAAAATAATCAGACATTTATCTGTAATCGGGGATCGACTGATTGGATTATCTTATATATTATATATTTTGGTCACTCTGAGTTCATCTGATCGCTGATAAATCTTGAAAATTCTCTTTTAATTAAACACATAAAGTTTCTGTTTTTCTAAATGTTGACACCAGAATTTTATTTTTGTCTCCAACATCCGTATCGGTTCCACGTATCCTCGACCCCTAATGATCCGTCTCGGTCGACGTGTCCCGAGTCTAATCTCCTCCTGCGTCTCCTCTCAGGTCTCAACATGTGCATGAGCGGCAGCGCTACTTCCTGCGAGGAATGTCTGCAGATCCACCCGAGCTGCGCCTGGTGCGCACAGGAGGTAAAGTAACACAGAGTATTAATGCAATAATGTACCGGGTCGGCGTGTGTTTGGTGTCTGAGCAGGTTCCTCTGAGGTGAAGCCGTTCTCTGTCGACACTTTTAAGCTTCCAGCTCAAAGGCTGCAGCAGAAGGTGAACAAGATGGAGAAGTTCATCCAGGCTCCTGAAGGAGAAGAAACTAATGTAGAAGCTTTTGTAGTGAACAGACGGTTAAGAATTAATGTTCACTGGACGTTATATCTACAGTCATGAACTAAAG